ATTTAACGAATTTTTTTTAACTATCAAACAAATACGTTCATGAACATATCTATGAACAAACATATTTATAATAAAAGCAATTGTCTATATAACAAAGGTAATGATTATTTATATTTATTAATTTTATAGTCAAATATTAATTATTTTTATTTAGCTTATTCACGAGTTCAAAATCGAACTCGAATCAATCTTTTATCGAGCTTCTTATCGAGCTTAATGTCGAGCTTGTTCACGAACTTCAAATGATGTTGTTCGCGAACATAAATGAGCCGAACGCATTAGTGTTCAAGTTTGTTTATTTAAGAATCGAGTATTTAAAATATTATTCAAGTTTGTTTGTTTAGCTAATTAAACGATCACAAACGAGCTTTAATCGAACCGAACAACGAGTAGCTCGTCGAACGTTTGGTTCGCTTGCAGCCCTACTTCTAAGAGAAAAGTTTTGAAGGGAGGGAAAGAGCCTCTTTAAGGACAAAAGCTTTGTAGGGAGAATAAAATAATTCTAAGTGTGAGATACACGGGCTTTTATGAGAGAGGCTTTTAATTCAGAAAGATAAGCTTCTAAGAAAGTGAGGCTTCGAAGGGAGATAATGGGAGAAATAAGAAGCTTTAAGAGAGGGAGTGACTATTATGAGAGAATTTTAAGAGCCATAAAAGAGAGAAAGGTTTCTTAGAGGGAGATTTTTAAGACAATCAAATGTTCCTAAGAGAGGGAGGTCTCAAATAGAGACAGAGTCTAAAGATAGGTTTCCAAGGAAGAGAAAGAAAGGCTTCAATGAGATAGAGAAAGAGGATTATTTCCATGTGCAATGCATTTATCCAAGTCTGGGGGATTTGTATGCAGTACTTCCAAACAATTATAGAAAAGCCCACCAAATAATAGAATTGCCCACAAGAAAATGAATGGTTTATATCATACAATAAAAGTGGAGAACAACATTCATTTTTATTTACTATAAACCTACTAACTATGAATAATAAATGGAGTAGCAGAGTCGGTAGTTTATAAAATATATAAAAAAATGAACAAAAATTGATAGAATAAAAACTAAAATGACAGAAATCTCAAGTGAAAGCGTAGACTTAAATGTGAAGCAGTAATGATAAAGTCATTACCCAATATTATTCCATAATTTAAAAATAGATAATATGAGAAACTAATATTAGAACAAAAGGGTAAGCGTTCCCATTGCACATGAGCAATCATGTATAAAGAAACATGTAAAAATGATAACATTGAACAATTAACTTAGGAAAATAAAGAAAATAGTTTATTGGATCTATATAATGGAATATGCATTTATTCAATGATGTGATGGATAAAATATAAAGATATATAAAGCAAGTTAATAAAAGGGGGAAAAATACACAATTTTTATGATCAAACACGACAAAGAGAATATCGTATTATCTCATAAGATAATAACGACATTCTACAAAGGTATTTAAAAATAAAAAATGAATTATGGAAAAACTATCTACATTCTCAGAGAGCTTTCTCCTACCTTACGAGAATAATATATGATTTATTTTTTCTGGAGTTACAGGTTCCCCATAAAGGCAGGTTAATTACATCGCAAGATAGGTGAATCTTTCGAGAACACTCTCGACTAAAGCAGTGAAATTTTTTTTTAGGATTTTCAAATTTAAAACAATGATAAAAAGTATTGCATGTTTTTAATGGAATGCCTCAAGGTTGAGCAGTTTTTTCTAGTTGGGATTTAATGTTTTAGAATGAGACTTATTTTTGTTGAAATTATTATTTTATTAGAAAGCTGAAACTTATATTCCTGATTACTAAATCAAACAAATGTCCAGAACATGAGGACTTATAATATTTGAATTAACCACAGAACCTAGAGCTAAGGCGAGTCACTCCAGGATAGTGGCTCGAACCTTATATAATGAAATGCAATGGGACTTGTATCTCTTACCATGCTAAGGATTTAAGAAAGTCCGACTCTTATGAACTTATGATCCTTCCTAGATAGAACTATCAGCTAAATTTTACCTAACATTTTAAAACCATAATGTTCAATCTCCATGAAATGCAAATTAAGGTAGGCTATTGTTTAATTAAAAATTTGGGGCATACAACTAAGAAGTCCTAAATGGCCTCAGACTATGAATGGTAGATCATTCTTCTAAAACAGATGCAATTTTCATTTTTTTTGGTAGGTTATTAATACATTGCATGCTACTTATATATAAAAATGTGTATGATTTGAAATAATAAAAGGCTTATAATAGCTTTATTCTATGGAGTAGGCCTCTCATGAGATAGAACTGTAGCCTAATAAGTCAGATGGTCTAATCAGAACCCGGAGACGGAGAGTTGCTAAAACAAGGAATGGAAGCAAAATATGTTATAGACTTGGCCGAACATCATTTACATCCTTCTAATTACTAATCTTTCAATGTTATTTAAAGAATTTTTTATTTTATGTCAAGTAGAAGAATTTTTCTTAAAGACTAACAAGAACTAACATTCAAGCTACTAAGCAAACATGCAAGTGTCCACCAAACGCTAGTTTTGTTTTGTGTAAAATCAGAGGTTTTAGTATATGTAAATCATGGGGCTTGAAATATCGGGTTATATTCTGTTGTCGGTTGTTTTTTTTTTTTTTTTTTTTTTGTAACTAAGAATTTTAATTTTCCATTCAAGTCAAAGTTATAATCAGATGCATTTTAATTTAATATTTGGAGTTTGAATTGCAATTAATGGCTTAACATTTACAATTAAAAAAGAAAATGAAATACAACATAAAGTATGAAAAATAAAAAAGTAAGAAAACAACATGTAAGAAATATATAATAGAAGGTAAAAAACCTAACCTAACAAGTCTAACGTTGGTGAATTCTATGCAACTTCTGGTGTGTGATAGGTCATATGAGTAGTCAACCCTATTAATAATTTATTGTTTCAATTTTTAATTTTAAATATGTTTAATTTTTATCAAGAGGTGATTTCAATTCAAATATTAATGTTTTGTAATTTTTATTTGGTTTTTAAATGGCTGGTAAATAAAATTTTACTTTTTTTATTAATATTATCCCCACTTTATGTATACTATTTACTTTTTTTATTAATATTATCCCCACTTTATGTATACTATTGGTTGTTATAATTTCATAAATTTGAAGGAATTTATTTCGTATTTTTCTGATTTTTATTTAATTATTAATGGAAATATTGTTTAATTTGGAGATGAAAATGAGTTGTTAATTAAAATATTTTTTTAGTTTATTATTTGATATAATTTTACATATTTATTAAAGTTTATTTTATATTTTCTAAATTTTAATTATTTTTTTATGAAGTTTGGATTTCTAAGTTTGTAGGAGAATTTATTAAATAAAGAGGTATAGATGGATAGTTAGGCTTCATTTGAGACAGTTTTCTTACTATTTTCTAAAGAAGTTTTTTAATACAAAATTTTTTATCTGAAAATTTTTGTACTAGAAAGCTGCTTTAGAAAGCACTAAGAAAGTTGTCCTAAACGACGTCGAAATTAATATATATACTTAGTTTGTTGTTCGTTATTGTTTCATGTGTTTATAAAAAATTTTTTAAGGTCTTTTTTTAATTAGATTTTTAATAGATTTTCTGATGTCCAGGTTTATTCATTATCATTATTATCTTTCTTTCTCTCTTTCTAATATCATTTTAAACTTGTCTCTTTTATAATATATTACTTGGTTTATTTCTTATTAATGGTTCTATTGTTGATTTGGCTCTTAGAAATAATTTATGCAGCTCAGATGAGCTAAGTGCCCAAATGGGTAAATGAATGTGAAATAGAAACTAACCTATCAAGTGGGTATGACGCTCCCAATTAAGATCCCATTATTTCATAGTTTTGGATTCGTCGTTGCCCTTAGCACTCAAATTTAAGTTGAGTTATATCAAATATTAGTATTAAGTTTGCATCATTTCGGAGGCGCTTATTGACATATTAAGAGATAGCATCTTCTTGCACATTATTTCAGATAACCTAAATTTGTTTAGTAAAACATTTTTTGAAGTAAAATTTTGAAAGTTGGAATATTTAAAAACAAGAAAGCCTATGATTGGTTGAACAAAGACTCATGGTACATGTCTACAAGATATACTGAATATGTGAAATTATAACTTGTCAATGAATAGTATTGGAAGATTGAGTGGTAAAAACTAATAATGTAAGTACATTAGATGTGTTAAATTAAAAAAAAAAATAGAAATATACATGAGGAGAACTTCTAGCATTAAAACTATGTGGGTATAGTAAAGACTTGTCTTTAAAATATTGTGTAGATTGTAGATTTTATGTAGATTTAAAAGAAATTTTTTAATAACTGTAACTAAACTAGCAAAGTTATGTTTGATTTTGGCGATGAAAACAAATACATTACTAATGCACAAATAGAGCACCCTAAAATAATAAATTTGAAGTAAAACTTTGAAGAATAGAGTTGGAAATCATTATAGCAAAAATAGACATCAACTATCAAATTATTTGAAAAGAAATGAAAATTTTGATCAGAAAAAAACGAAATTTGATCTCTAACTCAAGGGTGAAGGGCTTCAATAAAAAAAAAGTTACCTCTGGCTCATACACATTACCACTGACATTCTATGCAATGCTTTCATACAATAAAGAATATACTGAAGATGATAACTCTTGGCCATCATCTAGAGAAGTTAGCTATACCCCACCCACATGAGCTTCCACAACCGTCATATGAATCATTACCACAAAATCAATTAGAACTTAAGATGACCATGTATAATAGGATAATAGATATGATTAATCTACCCAACTCCCAATAACAGTGTCACTCTAGAAATCATCAGAAGCCAAACTATCTAATTTCTAAGACTAAAATCTAAAGGTAAATTAAAATACAATAATAACAATAATATGATGGAAGCATAGACAATGATACCTGATTCAATGTTAGAATTTCAGTTTTATCGTTGCAGATGGTAGTGGTAGATCCAATCGTTTAACAAGCTGTTAGCCTCCGAAGCTGTAATGTAGATACTTAATAATAGTTGAACGCATAGATTCTAGTTTGATAAGAAGAGAAGCATATCAATGCTATGTCTGCCATCATCTTCTTCATTGAGTAGGCAAGATTGAAGTTGGAAAAATCAATTAACCATGAGAATCATGAAGAACTTGACATCATATCATCAAAAAAGGAATACAATTAACACTTACATCTATGTAACAGCCAATGGAAGACCTTTAGGTACAGCAACAACCATAATAGTCACCTATTTATAATTCATAGGCTAATTAGTAACTAGAATAACAAGATCCAAGTCTTTCATATGGCTACGTTACAGCTTCGGAGGCTATCAACTTGTGAAACGATAAGAAGATAAGCATACCAATGCTTTGTTTGCCATCATCTTCTTCATTGAGTAGGCAAGACTGAAATTGGGAAAATCAATTAACCATGAGAATCATGAAGAACTTGACATCATATCCTAAAGAAAGGAATACAATCAACACTTACATCAATGTAACAGCTAATGGAAGACCTTTAGGTACAGCAACAACCATAATAGTTACCTATCTATAATTCACAGGCTAATTAGTAACTAGAATAACAAGATCCAAGTCTTTCATATGGATACATACCGCAACAGTCAAAATCTTAACAGCTCCATCTATAGCATCTTTCACACTTGTATGCCCCTTGTCAAATTGAACACTTCCATCAGATAATCCCCACACTACTATTCTACAAGATACAAAAAAAAAAACAACTCACAAGCATAATCACATAATCACATAATCGTCAGCAATTTTGCATCCAGGCATCAAAAATGGTGTTTTGAGATCCTTGTCTCCTGCAACAAATAATTGAAACAATCTTGTTATTCTAAATGATGAGAAATATACTACAACAACATCAATGACCCACTACAACTCTCACTCACTAAAAAACTACAATTGTATGAGAAAAATAATAGACTCATGGATACATTGTTGGAAGGTCCACCACTTTTCATAAATTAATATAAACTTGATCATCATACACCTCATGAAGAAATGAACTGCAAGGATCATAAAAGTAGGATACTCAGTTTAACAGTGAATCAAAAAAATGAATGCCACTCAAGGAAATTTCGATGAATCAGTCAGAATCACTAACCAATTTAATCGATTCTCAAACATATCATTTTTTTAATATCGACAAAGTCAATGCATTTTGAACACATTTTATATGATATTATAAATAAGAGCGATGTGATTGACATACAAGAATATGTTAAATATGTTGGGCATTATATATTTATAACTATATATATAATATATTTATAATGATACTATAGATATCTGATAATCCCCACACTGCTATTCTACAAAATACAAAAAAAAAAACAACTCACAAGCATAATCCCATAATCATCAGCAACTTTGCACCCAGTCATCAAAAATGGTGTTTTGAGATCCTTGTGCTCCTGCAACAAAGAATTGAAACAATCTTGTTAGTCTAAATGATGAGAAATATACAACAACAACAACAACATTAATGACCCGTTATTGCCAATGACCCACTACAACTCTCACTCACTAAAAAACTACAATTGTATGAGAAAAATAACATACTCATGGATACATTGTTGGAAGGTCCACCACTTTTCATAAATTAATATAAAGTTGATCATCATACACCTCATGAAGAAATGAACTGCAAGGATCATAACAGTAGCATACTCAGTTTAACAGTGAATCAAAAAAATGAATGTCACTCAAGGAAATTTCGATAAATCAGTAAGAATCACTAACCAATTTAATCGATTCTCAAACATATCATTTTTTTTAATATCGACAAAGTCAATACATTCTGAATGCATTTTATATAATATTATAAATAAGAGTGATGTGATTGACATACAAGAATATCTTCGGCATTATATATTTGTAATGATATATATAATATAGATCATGTTAAAAATTCAATGATTTGATCGGGTATAGAGTGTAATTCTCATTCAAAAAATAGAGTTGCTTTTTCTATTGTTATAAATTAATAAACAAAATTTTCATTGCCACAACCGAGGATAGCTCCATTTGGTTTGGAGTTGAGAGAGGAAATAAAAAATGAAATGGAAAAAGAGATATTAAAGAACATGAATTGAAAAATAGCTTTCCACATTTGTTTGATGGAGGAGAATGTGAATAACCATTTAATTTCTTGCTTCGGGTTTTACTTTAGCTTTTCCTTAGGTTTCAGCAACAGCACATAAGAAATATGCAAGTTAGAATTTCATTCATAAAATCAATTTTTAATGTATCACAATTAAATCAAAATGATCAAATTTAACTGTGATGTAAAAAATATTTCTTATCCATTTTCTCCAAAGCAAATGCAACCTAGGTAAAAGAAGAAAGAAAGAAATAAGCAAATGAAATGACAGTGTTTCATCTAGCTAGAAAAAGTGTGTTACCCTAATACTAACCTTCTTCTCAGTCTAAAGTTTTTGAATGACATATCCAATATCTTAAGTCCTCATCAGCATGGGTTCATAGTGGCTATACTTATTTGCTTGGCTCCTAAAAAGATGCGTAAATAATTAAACAAGAAGCTCAACAAAACAAAACAAAAATGAAAAGTTGAAAAAATAAAATTAAATAATGTGTTAATGGTTTATTACTTTGGTTTATGTGCTCCATCAATCACTCTCAAACTTATCATCTTGAAATATAACTCATCTAGGTTCCTGGAAATGGCTTACTCTTCAAGTATCTATAAAACCAAGATATCCTCAAATCTCATTAGTACCCTTTCTGATACATATGTGCCCATTATACAATAGAATATTACTACAAAAACCCTACATGAAGAGTCTCTTCTTTATTATGGAATGACTTAGCTCTCACCACATAATCGTTGTGCTTCTCAGGAAGTCCAAACTTCTTTCTCGCTTGACTAAAGATATAGTTCACACAAGGGAAAAAAAAAACACTTCAAGCTTTTTTACATAATTTACATGAACTAATAAATAAGTAAATAAATAAGAAAGTGGTTATTGCAAGGCTTACGATTGTGCCCATTTTTAATATACTCGTATCGAAGTTGCAGTCCTAAGTGAAGATATCATCACCACCACACCAAGAAATTCCACACAAAACACCTCTTCTCCGAATTGTAACAAATTAATGTTGTTTGGTAGTAGGATTTAAGCAAGATTTAACTTAAAAGTATCACCGAATAGTAAGAATTAATTAAGCATTTCAATGAATTAAAAAAAGCATAGAATTTCCTGTTAAAACTGAGAATTTGAGAGGGAAAAGCTTGAAATTCTTCATTACAATCTTCCCTATTTATAGATCTATACAAGATATCCTAATGAGGAAATAATAAATTGCAGATTTAATACATAAATAATACATAAAAATCTTTCCTAAATTCGTTCCTCCATTATGGCGTGATTCACAAGAGTATCCCACGGATTGCTCTTTGTGTCCGTCGGATCCTTTGCACTGGGAATAGCTAGATTTCAACACTCCCCCTCAAGCTGGGAAATATGGATCTGTCATCCCCAGCTTGTCAATCATTCTAAGAAAGGCAGAACTGCCCAATCCTTTAATAAGGATATCTGCAAGTTGATCCTTTGATGATACATGGTAGACACTTACTAGACCACTGTCTAGTTTTTCTTTAATAAAATGTGTGTCCACTTCTATGTGCTTGGTCCTATCATGCTAGACTGGATTGTGGGCTATGCTGATTGCTGATTTGTTGTCACAATGTAGCTTCACGGGCTCATCCTACTTAACCTTTAAATCATCTAAGATTATTTTGATCCATAGTAGCTAACATATTCCCAAGGCCATAGCTCGATATTCTGCTTCTGCACTGGATCTTGCCACCACATTTTTTTCTTGCTTCTCCATGTAACTAGGTTACCTCCAAGAAATGTGCAATACCCAGAAGTAAATCTTCTATCAACAGGTGATCCTGCATAGTCAGCATCCGTGTATACTTCTAGGGTTATTCCACGATCTCTTTTAAAGAGAATTCCTTTTCCAGGTCTTCCTTTAAGGTAGTGTAAGATCTTGTCTACTGCTTGCATGTGAATCTGCTTTTGATTCTGCATAAACTGACTGACCATGCTTACAGCAAATGCTATGTCTGGTCTGGTGTGGGAGAGGTAGATCAATTTCCCTACAAGTCTTTGGTAGGCCCCTTTATCTACATCTGGATCTTCTTTAGCTTCTCCCAGTTTAAGATTAGGTTCTACTGGTGTTGGTGCTGGTTTACAGGCTAGTTTACATGTTTCTCTTAGAAGATCTTTGATGTATTTCTGTTGTGAGATGAAGATTCCTTTGTTGGAGTGAGCTACTTCAATTCCGATGAAATATTTTAGTCTACCAAATTCTTTGATGTCAACTTTATATGTTATGTTCATATAAAATTGGCATTTAGCATATTGTTCAGTTTATCTTGATTACTGTAGTTTAGAATTGTGTATTACTTACTGAGCTTTAGCTTAATGTTAGTTGTTAACATTTTCAGGTAAGCTTAAATTAATCAAATGAGTAGAAGAGGCGGTAACGTATACCGTAGGAGAGGAGCTCAAGAAGAAAGGTAATTACGAATTTATTTGAGTTTTATGTTAATTGAGTTTTCAAATTAGACATTAGATAATTTAAGTTTTATGGAGATAGATTTAGACATTAGATAATTTAACCTACCGTCCGACCTCTTTTCCCGCCTCGCCTACGCGAGCTCACCGGGCTAGGTCGTGACAAGTATATCATAAAGAAGACCAAAATCTAAAATGGAAATGACCTTAAATCATCATACAAATGATTTTGAATATTCTATGAAAATAAATTTAGTTGTATTTTAATTGACCATTTCATCATCATTCACTTTATTCCAATTATCTATGAATCAACATTTTCTATTCACTCCAGCAATGTTTTGCCTAAAACACTAAATCTAGTCTTCGCAAACTATTTTAAAACAACTTCTATCCAGTCACATTGTCAACCCCTTCACATTCCTAATCCTCAAATATAATACTCTTTTAATGGATATATTTTCTATCTTTTATTGTACATTCCTAACTACACAAGTTTATTTTCAATAACCTTATCTTGAATAGATATCCATTATGTTAATACAATCATTTCTTAATTTATCCCACTCAAGCTTTCCATAGATGCACCTTAATATTATTAGAGATTTATTCCAATTATATATAAATAAGCTTTTTATTCACTCCAACTGAGTGCTGCTTGAAGCATTAAATCTAGTCCTTGCAAATCATTTTAAACAACTTCTATCCATGTTAAGGTCAACCCTTTCACATTCATAATCCTCAAATATAATTTATATACTTATCTAATGGGTGTATATTTTATATTTTATTGTACATATACTATGTGTACAAGTTTATGTTCAATAACAT